TGTTTGCAATGTTGCTATCTTGTGAATTCGCTCATAACGCGTTCACGTGTGCTGCATTTGTGTTTTTTGTTGTTGTTGCGGACATCAATTATACAAGTCATCCGTCAGCATGTGTGTTTGCACAGCCCAGAGATGTATTTTTTTTAATGTGTGTGTCGGGCGTGATGTTGGCCACCCACCCCCTCGTGCGCTCTGCCGGCCTGTATAGGTGTTCGCCAACAGCACATGCCCCAACAGTCTAAAGCATGCAACTAAACTATTTTTTTTATTTCTCCAGGTAAGGCTCACTGAGCTATATAGCTCTTGTTCAGAAGCGACCTAGCCACAAATGATAGCTCAACGAAGTGGCTTATTGTGTGGAAAAGTATAGCAGTCAAATACTCTAAACGCGTGATGTTGATTCTAAATGTAGAGGGAAAACCCTGAGGACCCAGAGAAAAATCCACGCGACCACGTGGAGAACATGCAAACTCCAAATATGCAGGTGTCAGAGTCTGGATCGAACCCACGACCTCCTGTATACCAGGCGAGGTAGTTAACATCTCGCCACTGCGGGGAGTGTTTAATCATGTGGGAGGCAACTGGAATATTTCGAGAAAACACACATTTAACACTAAAAGATCCCACAGTTCATTTCCCAAACGAATTTGCTGTAAAATCTTGACTTAAAGCTTTCGTGACTGCAGGAATTCATATTCTTGGGTCTTTCGGTAAATTCACGTAGATAGGTTAAATAAAAATTGCTGCACTGCCAGCTCCTAGCCACACTGTATCTCAAATTACAGTTGAACTAATCCTTGCCTCTGTATTACATGCATTGGCCACCACGACCTGTATACCAGGCGAGGTAGTTAACATCTCGCTACAGTGGCGAAGGGGGATCTTTGTCTTTGTGTGTGAATGTCGGTGTAACATGTTCATGTACAGCATACGGATGAAGACTGAACCCGTGTATATGTGTTTGGGGAGAGGTATTGCGCTGGTTAGGGTATGGGGCGATAAACCCGGCCACCCAAGTTCGATTCCCTGTTCGTAGCCAACATCGGTGACGAAAATCTGAACCGGTCCTGGACCTCCCATAGGTCGACTCAGCCTCATATGAGTACCTGGTGCAGTGTGTAAATATCGCCACTGGGGAGACAAAGGCGGTCGGGGTGGTGCTGGCCACCCACTCCCTTGTGCGCCGCCCTGGCCTTCATAGGTGCTCACTAACAGCACTTGCCCCAACAGTCTGTTAAGGCTATACGGGGGGGTCTGGTCCTCCCATAGGTCGACTCAGCCTGCAATTAATTAATATGGTAACCGTGTGTAAACATAATCATTGGGGAGACAAAGACATCCGGACGTGATGTTGGATACCCACCCCATCGTGGCCTTCATAGGTGCTCGTTAACAGCAAGTGCTGTTAACGAGCACCTATGAAGGCCAAAACCGCACACGAGGGAGTGCGTGGCCAGAACCACGCCCGGCCGCCTTTGTCTCCCTCGTGTAAATGTTTTTACACATCGCACCAGGTACTCCATTGAGACCCGGGACCGGTTCAGATAATCGTCACTGGTGTTGACCGTTAGCGGGAATCAAACTCGGGTGGCCGGGTTTGCAGCGCAGCGCTCTAAACCGCCGCACTACCGCTCCCCACCAACAGCACTTGCCTCACAGGCTATACGTGGGATCTCTTTCTTTATTCGTGTATAAACATGCGTGCATGTGAAATGTGTGAATGAAATATCTTGGCCTTATCTGCGTATCAGCGTGTGCGTGCGCGAAATACGAAAGGCGTTGTGAAGGCGGGCGGATCGCGGGTGGAGCCATTCACGGGCTGTTTAACGATTGCCGGTAAATCGGTAACCGGTTTTCAGAAAATGACTACCGGGTTCCGTGATCATCGCTCGTGGGAATGTTGTCGTTGTAATGAATGCATTGATTGGGTTCATAATTATACGGGGAGATATTCACAGTAAAGGCGCGGCCCTGCAATTGCCTTTTTCACGCCACTGCTGGAGGAGGGGGTCTTCACGAGAGAGAACACACTATGGAGGGTATTTGGCCTACTCTTCCGTGTTGATCAACGGTGTTGTAAGAGGTACATCCACACTTTACCCCACCACCGATCAACTGTAGTGAACCATTTCACGCTGCCGGGTGAACAAGAGGCGGTGTGGCGGTGGTGGGTGGCGGCTCAAACATAAAACATCGCACCACTCTTTCGACTGCCGCGCCCGGAGATTGAATCTGGCCGGCGCTCTGTGGGTTGTGTGTCACGCGTGCTGCTAAACATAACACCGAGCGGCGGCTGCCTTGGTTTCTCAGATTTTTTTTTATTGAATTAAAAAACAACTGCTATGTTAATTTCTCTTGACATTTCTGTATGTGCGGCAAAAACCGGTAAGCGGTCTTTCATGCGGTTACTGGTGATGCAAACGAGAAAAAAAGTAGTTTCTATGGGACCCTTTGAAGCAGTACAGTATTGTATGCGGATTATATTTATGCCAGAAAAGGGTAAATATTATATATATAAAATCTCGAAACAATGAGTTGCGAACAACCCGAATCCACTCATTTTTATTGCTCTCCGTCCCAGCCGTTACCAAAACATCCACTTAGTGCCGAGCTACACACGAGTACCCATCAGTGGCGGCGATCGGCATAATACAATCATACACGAGCAAAGTAAAAGCGTGGGTCTCAAGTGGCTCAAGGGTACCCCTGATGCATGGAAACGAGGAATGCACCAAATATTAGCCCCGATTCATATCCTATGAAACATTGCAAGCATATTAAAATAACGATCCAATTGACATCGCTCTCATCCCTGTCTTGTCCGCATCTCTCTGATCTCACGACATCTCTTCTGTCCTCTAACGAGGTGTTTCTACAACTAAGGGGGCCCACAATGCGGCAGCATCTTCACTACTGCCCATACTTTACCCACCACCAATCTCCACTACCGACAGCGTGCCAGTCATAGTCACAGCCCTCACGAAACCCACCAACCAGACATTACCCATCCATACCCACATCGCCACCAGTGTACCCCCCCAATAAAATGTCCCCACCCATAGCCAATACATTTTCACTGCCCACCTCCAACCGTGCCCATAGAGCAACCCTCGTGCCTGTGTCACCCTGGTGTCTGCGTCACCCTGGTGTCTGTGTCACCCTCGCGTCTGTGTCACCCTGGTGTCCGCGTCACCCTGGTGGTGTCTGTGTCACCTGGTGTCTGTGTCACCCTGGTGTCTGTGTCACCCTGGTGGTGTCTGTGTCACCTGGTGTCTGTGTCACCCTGGTGTCTGTGTCACCCTCCTGGTGTCTGTGTCACCCTCGTGTCTGTGTCACCCTCGTGTCTGTGTCACCCTCGTGGTGTCTGTGTCACCCTGGTGGTGTCTGTGTCACCATGGTGTCTGCGTCACCCTGGTGTCTGTGTCACCCTCCTGGTGTCTGTGTCACCCTGGTGGTGTCTGTGTCACCATGGTCTCCGTGTCAACTGGTGTCCGTGTCACCCTCCTGGTGTCTGTGTCACCCTGGTGTCTGTGTCACCCTCCTGGTGTCTGTGTCACCCTGGTGTCTGCGTCACCCTCATGTCTGTGTCACCCTGGTGTCTGCGTCACCCTGGTGTCTGTGTCAACTGGTGTCTGTGTCACCCTCCTGGTGTCTGTGTCAACTGGTGTCTGTGTCACCCTCCTGGTGTCCGTGTCACCATGGTGTCTGTGTCACCCTCCTGGTGTCTGTGTCACCCTGGTGTCTGTGTCACCCTCCTGGTGTCTGTGTCACCATGGTGTCTGTGTCAACTGGTGTCTGTGTCACCCTCCTGGTGTCTGTGTAACCCTGGTGTCTGTGTCACCCTCCTGGTGTCTGTGTCACCCTCCTGGTGTCTGTGTCACCCTGGTGTCTGCGTCACCCTCATGTCTGTGTCACCCTGGTGTCTGCGTCACCCTGGTGTCTGTGTCACCATGGTGTCTGTGTCACCCTGGTGTCTGTGTCACCTGGTGTCTGTGTCACCCTGGTGTCTGTGTCACCATGGTGTCTGTGTCACCCTGGTGTCTGTGTCACGCTGGTGTCTGCGTCACCTGGTGTCTATGTCACCCTGGTGTTTGTGTCACCCTGGTGTCTGTGTCACCCCGGTGTCTGCGTCACCCCGGTGTCTGTGTCACCCTGGTGTCTATGTCACCCCGGTGTCTGCGTCACCCTGGTGTCTGCGTCACCCTAGTGTCTGTGTCACCCAGGTGTCTGCGTCATCCTGGTGTCTGTATCACCCTGGTGTCTGTGTCACCCTCCGCGTCACCCTGGTGTCTGTGTCAACTGGTGTCTATGTCACCCTGGTGTCTGTGTCACCTGGTGTCTGTGTCACCCTGGTGTCTGTGTCACCCTGGTGTCTGTGTCACCTGGTGTCTGCGTCACTCTGGTGTCTGTGTCACCTGGTGTCTGTGTCACCCTGGTGTCCGTGTCACCCTCATGTCCGTGTCACCCTCGCGTCTGTGTCACCCTGGTGTCTCTGTCACCCTGGTGTCTGTGTCACCCTGGTGTCTGTGTCACCCTGGTGTCTGTGTCACCCTCCTGTCTGCGTCACCCTGGTGTATGTGTCACCCCAGTGTCTGTGTCAACTGGTGTCTGCGTCACCTGGTGTCTGCGTCACCCTGGTGTCTGTGTCACCTGGTGTCTGTGTCACCCTGGTGCCTATGTCACCTGGTGTCTGTGTCACCTGGTGTCTGTGTCACCTGGTGTCTGTGTCACCCTGGTGCCTGTGTCACCTGGTGTCTGTGTCACCCTCGTGGTGTCTGCGTCACCCTCGTTAGTGTCTGTGTCGAGACGCGGCAGTGCGGCTCCCAAGTTGCTCCAACGCAAGAAGCGCACAGATCGAGTCTCACCACGTGACGGCGCAAAACGTCAGCAGCACTCCCTCCTTCCCCCAGCCAACACCCCGATCCTCATTTACAGAAACCACCCCCCACCATCCACCCCCCCCACCACCCACCAGCCCCTCCCCTCCCGCCGTCCACTCCACACGGGGCTGAGCACAAAGCGAGCGGGCCGATCTCCGTCACTTGCGGACGAACGCACTCTCGCATCCCCGCGCGCTCCGCTCTCGCCGACGGAGGAGAGCAGCGCTTGGAAAGAGAGGAGCGGAGGAAGGGGCGGGCAGAGAGAGCCAAAGAGCCATCGGGTCGGGCGGAGAGAGAGGAGAGGAGGCGAGCCATGCTAGACCCATCTTCGAGCGAGGAGGAAGGGGATGATGTGTGCGAGGAGGAGCATCCCAGAGGCGGCATGCGCGGCGACTCCCGCATAGCCGAGAGCTCCGGGGCCGCTCTAATGCCGCCGGGCGCCTCTCCCGGCTCCGCCATGTCACCGGGGCTCTCCAAGGCAGCCGCGGCGTCGGCGGCTTCAACAGCAGCAGCGGCGGCGGCGGCATCGGCGTCGTCTTCGGCAGGAGGAGGTGGTGGAGGAGGTGGTGGAGGTGCTGGTGGAGGTGGTGCTGGTGGTGGTGGGGGCGCTGCGGCGGTCGTGGCGGGTGGCCCGGCCGGCGCGGTGAGAGCGCAGGTGGGACTGGGGTCCACCTCGGGGTCCGCGTCCTCGGGATCGGTGGCCGGGGCGGGGGCCCTGAGCGCCAGCGTTAGCGCGGCGAGCGTCGGGGTGGGGGTCCCGGCCGCCGGGAGGCCCGGCAGTCCGAGCCCGTCGCTGGGAGGCGAGCGCGACGAGTTGGAACGGCTGCGCCGTGAGGACGACGAGCGCAAGCGGCGGCTGCAGATCTACGTGTTCGTGCTGCGCTGCGTGGCGTACCCCTTCAACGCGAGGCAGCCCACGGACATGGCGAGGAGGCAGGCCAAGGTGAGCGTCTCTGCGCCGTGCGGTCCGTGCGGTTGTGTGCGGGGAGCGGTGGTGCAGCGGTTAGCGTCCTGCGCTGCTTAAGCCGAAGGCGACCAGGGTTCGATTCGCTGCTCGCGGCCAACACCGGCGACGATTATCTGAACCGCTCCTGGGACTCCCCTAGGTCGACTGGGCCTCAAATGAGTACCTGGTGCGGTGTGTAGTAAACATCGATACTGGGGGGACAAATGCGGCCCGGCGTGGTGCTGGCCATCCACCGCTTCGTGTGCCGTACTAGCCTTAATAGGTGCTCGCTAACCGCACTTTCCCCAGCACTCCGTTGAAGCTATACGGAGGATCTTTGTCTTTGTTTTGTTTGTGTTGTTGTGTATGGGGGGGGGGGCGGTGGTGCAGTGGTTCGCGTCCTGCCCTCCCAAACCTGGCGGCGACCCGAGGGAAATTCCCGCTCACTAACAATGGTAGTGGAGAATAGCTTGAAGAGGTTCCAGTCCTCCCCAAGGTTCGCTCGTCCTAAGCTGAGTGCCTCGTGCGGTGTGTGTATACACCAGAGCCGGCGAGACAAAGGCGGTCGGGCGTGGTGCTGGTCACCTACCCCCCCCTCGTGTACTGTGCTTGCCTTCATAGGTGTTCCCTAGCAGCACTTGTCCCAACAATCTACAACGCCTACACGGATATTTGTCCTACATTTTTTTACGTGTGCTTGTGTGTGTGTCTGTTCATCTGTACGTGTGTGGATATCTCTATCATTCTGTGTCTGTGTGCAAGTGTTGGTGTGTGTCTGTGTCCGTGTATCTGGATACAGTCTTTCTGTTTGCAGTCTTGTGTAACTGTGCAGTCTATGTCTGTGTGTGTGCACATGTGTGCGTGTATCTCTGTATCAAAGTTTGCAGTGTGCCTGCGTATCTCTGTCGGTATACGTGTATGTATTTCCTGTGCGTCTATGAGTGTGTTTGAGCATTTGTGTGTACGTCTGTCTTGTATATGTGTGTGTATTCGCCAGTGTGTCTGTGTATCTGCATCTGTGTGTGTAGTCTGCTGTGCACGTGTGTGTGCACGTGTGTGTGCACGTGTGTGTGCACGTAACCTCTTTGGGGAGCGGCGACCCGAGTTCGATTCTTGCTCACGGCCCAACACCAGGTGAGGATTATCTGAACCGAGGCCTCCCCTAGGTTGACTCGGCCTCAAATGAGTACCTGGCACGGTGTGTAAACGTTGCTACTGGGGAGACAAAGGCGGTCGGGCGTGGTGCTGGTCACCCCACCCTCTCGTGTACCGTGCCTGCCTTCATAGGTGCTCGTTAACAGCGCTTGCCCAAAAAGTCTGTGAAGGCTACACGGGGCATCTTTGTCTGTATTGTGTCACCTCTACGCGCCTCTGTAGGTTACGCCAAATGCGCCTTGGCGCAGAAGCGGGTGGTCAGTCGCGCCTTGCGCAGCTCATTGCAATGCGTCCACGGTGAGCGTAGGACTGCGAACGAACTCGGACATTCATTCGTTCGTTGTGAATGAGTCGCGACACTCGGTGAGAAGTGTCGTGCAATAATTGCGAGGGCCACGGGGTTGTGACGTCAACGCCGCGTGGACATTTGATTTCAAATCGCGTCTCGGAAGAGGTTCAGCGATGTTTCGAATCGTGGATTATTACCGATTGTTGTCGGATCGCTGTGCACGCGCGCGTGTGTGTGCACATTTCGCGGGTGGAAGATGGGCAAATATCACGATAAAAAATACAAGCAAACGAGAGACATGTCAACAAAACTAAACTATATTTTTATTTGAGTTACAGGGCTCACGAAAACCGACATTTCGTCGGGTGGTGGAGGGAGTTGCTACACATTTGTGTTTGTTTTGCACGTGCCTTTGTCACTTGAGCTCGTTCGCAATCGCTGCTACCAAATGACGGCTCAATGTGACCGGATCTCGGAAAGCGAAGCGGGCTTTCAGCCTGGATATTGGATGGGTGACCTCCACCACCGTGGCTTACGAGGTGTTGTACCCGCCGTGCTGCGAGGTGTGGCCAGCAGATGGCAATGTGTAGAGTGGCACCCCCTCGTATACAGCGCGGGGCTGGGGTTATTTATTTTCTTGTCGACGTTTCAGTATCCTCCCAAACACGAAGCCAAACTCCGATTACAAAAGGAATTGGCCAATCATCCTCATGCAGCACTCTTCTCAAACAGTCTTGACACTCGGCGTGTGTGTGTGTGAACCGATGTCATTTGAACGTCTTTCGCACCGTACTTAGCCAACCGTGCCAATCGGCAGTAGCGGAGGAAGGACAACAACAGCAGCGAAGGACAAAAAGCAGTTATGCGTGCTTGCCGGACAAGGAGCGTGAGCATCCATGCTGCATTAACACAGCCGCTCAATTCGAGCGAACCTCAAAGCGCCGCATCACGGCACTCCGGCGGGGTTGCAGAGGCTGCTGTGAGTGGCGCGTCTGTGATTATCTTCTCTTCCCGCAAAGCTAACCCGTTGGCGATAATTAATTGTCAAAAGGGCCGTTGATATCGTTGACTTTTGTAATACGGCCCCGTGTACAGTGACGGCGAAGCAACGGGGGAGCACGGTAACACGTGTCGAGGATGTCCGAGGCATCCTCACGCACTCGCGCCACACGGACACACAATCTTCGCACTCGACATCGCACACACCAATCACACGCACGGGAATACCACTCGACGGGGGTCAAGGGTTAAAGAGCACTGACGTCACACGCGCACGAGAGACGTGGATTCGAAAGGGGGGCGGAGATAGAAGGTATTGGGAGTTGGGGCGGAGATGGAGGGTTTAAAGGGCGCCGTGAAACGCGTGTTCGAGGTTGGTTTGAGGGACGAGTGTGGATAAAGGAAGTGCTTAACCAGTCTCCCACTCCTCTTCACACGTGCATCTCATCTGCCTCGGCCTGACGCCACCGCTCGCAATGGGCCCTTGGATCATTATCGCTTCTTACCGCAGCCTCCAACCCCCGCCCTCCCCTACAACTCCACCCTCGACGATATCCTCAAGAGATGCGCGCAGGTTTCGGAGAGTGCTGCTTTTGTTTTGCGAGGAAGGGCGAGACATTTAATGGGCAAACGCACACTCGCACACTGGGGCCCATTCAATGTGGGGGGTGTGAAACGACCCATCGATTAATCGATACGGATTGAATTGGTAGCCGCACAATTTGCGTCCTAAAATTTCGCGTGTTCAAGAATCGATGTCTTTTCCGATCCCTATTTTGTTGTGTTTGATGGGGCCACGTTATGGTTGAACAGATGCTAGTGCAATATAATCCACAATTTGATTATGCATCCATGCTGCACCCGCCGTTACCAACACGCACTGATCAGCATGGTGAAGTATGGTTAAATACCTGCCCCCCCCCTTCCTCCTCCATTACCCACACACGCATTGGGAGACCTCATCCAGCAGCGGATTGTCCAAACGGGTTGTGCGCGTTAAATAATGTGCGTGCAATGTCACATAATGAGTAAACGTCACCGCTGCAGCCACCAGAGGCGCTACCATTCACCGCTTTGTCATTTAAATGAATGCAATAGAATCTCAACTCCCCCCCCCCCCCCGCGTGGTATATAATGGAACGCGATCGAATCGTCGGAGTGGCCAGAGGTCGTTCCCACACCCACGGGTTCGCTCGCTGTACGGGGAAATCAGCACCACGGACAGCGCCAGCCCACAATGCTGTGGCAATGGGACGAGCGGCAGGCAGGCTGGATAGGGTTTGTCGCAGCGCATGGCTTTGCAATTGGTTCGTATGGTCAAAACACGTGCAATGAGACGTGTCTCTAAGAACCGGTTTACTTTTTAAGTAAACGATGGGGGGGGGGGGGCACACTCGGGGTCAAATCGAACAAACGAGGACAGTAAAAACAAGACGGACAGCACAAACGAGACGCAACATTTCAAACACCGAATGAGAACGCAAATAACGATCGAGGCAATTGGAAGGAGACGAAGAAAGAATGCGATTATTGAATCGAATCTCGATGATTTATCGAATCGCTGAGGGACGGGGGGTAGGGTCTTGCTTGACACACCTGCTATGAAGGCAGGGATTCAGCACCATGGACAGCGCCAATGAGACATTGAAGTGGTTCTCGTTCGCTCGCGGTTCAGTGATTGATCACGATTTAGTGATTGATCACGATTCAATTATCGAATCTATTAGCATATTTGTACTTTCTCGCCTGTACTGTGCTTTATGCACTCCGCATGTGTCTGACCTATCTTCTTGTTTCGTACGGCTGATGTTCATGTAGAGCAATGACTATAATTTACCATTGATCTGGTCTCTATACCTGTCGGTTGATGTTGAAGTCGGTCGTGAAAAGTCTTAAGCCGCTGATGAGCTGCAGCTTTACCGGTCAGAATTCGATCAATACGTAGGCGCGTGTAAATAATAAAGACATCTGTATCAACGTGACAATCTTGTCGGGTGGTGGAGAGTTAATGGCAATAATTTATATTATTTTAAATACATTTTAAGAATGATTCCTGAATTGTGTAAATACATTTGAATACATTTTACCGTAAAATTTTGCCGTAAAATGACGGCGTGGCCTAACACAAATTTATATATGGATCAATGCTGTCTCAATCTGTGTTCTGTGTACTCTGTCCCGTTTATACCGTCTGTTTAGTCTGTGCAATACGACACGGTTGTAGTGTCTGTACTTTGTGTACTCTCTGCCTCGCTAGTTCTAACACCCACGTAATTAATATCGGGACTTGCTACTCTATAATAAAGCCCATTGCCCGAGGCGATCGCCCTGCTGTATATGCTTCTGTAGTCTGTCAGTGATATTGACGAAATTGGGGAGTGTTTTTATTTATTATTTCAGCGATATGTGTTGTTTTGTCATCAAACTTTCTGTGTTTATATCGATGTGCCCATTGGCGTATCCACAATTTTGCTACTTTTCAAAGTCAAACTTTGTATTGTTGCAACAAATTACGCGTGCCCAAATTGCCGTGTGATGCAATAATATTTGAGAT